TCACTTCATTATAACCAAAGTTATCGTGCCCCTAAATCATCAACCAATCAGATTGCTTATCACTGCCTACCGTAACTAGACAATGTTCATAATCAAACTCCATCAAGGGATTCACCGAGTGAATGCCTACACCAAGTTTGAACATTCTACCTCAATTAGTAGGAGAGTTATTGTGTTCCAAAATCTTGACCAATCAAATTGCTTATCGCTCTGCTTACCCTGAGCGGAAAATGCTCATTATAGAACTTAGTCAAGGTATTGATGTAATGAAACTATACACCAAGTTTCATCACTCTCACTTAATTAGAACTAAAGTTATTGTGTCCCAAAGCATCAACCAATCAAATTGCTTATCTCCACTTATCCTAAGCAGAAAATGCTCATCTTCGAACTCCATCAAGGTATTGGCCTAATAAACACCTACACCAAGTTTGAATATTTAAGCTCAATTAGAAAGAGAGTTATTGTGTCCCAAAAGGTGTGACGGACAGACAGACAGACGGACAAACCCATTTTAATAGTCCCCTGAGTGTCAACCAAAATGACATGACAGCATATTATAAATGCCGATTGTCAAAAAGTGACGATTCTTGAGTGAGAAAACGGTCTGCAATTTGAACATAAGCATCTCTTACTAGTCTTACAAATGAAATTGAAATTTCTATCCTTCTATCAAGGGTTCAGATTCTGATACCATTACAGTACCGGAAAATAACAGTAGACCTATTGTACACTCAAAACCTTTTTTAATTCAGTTGTGTGATGAAGATAACAGAACACATGTGAAGAAACGAAACTTGATTACCCAATCAACAATCCTAATCTCCTGAGCACTAACACAAACATGCAAATTAACTGGTAAGATTAACAAAAGTTATTCTCACAAAAGTTATAATATACAAAATCTAGATTACTAATGTATGGACTATTTTCTCTTTTGTTCTAAATTATAACATCGAGAGAAATATTAAATGAAATATAACAAATATATGGCGTGGTTGCTATGTGATTTTCTTTTACAACATGCCAACATCTTTAACTCGCTTTTTCTCAAAACTACCTTTTCTGACTTGGGCAACTTCAAACCGATATAGCTCAGTCTATTTTTGCTTGATTCATACCAACTATACATCATTTTGAAGGTATTGAGGAGGAGAATGTGAACAATAACTCAATTTTCAAAAATTCCTCATTGCTACTCAATTTGCCAGTACAAGTCACAAATTTGTTTAAAATAAAATAGCTTGGCCATAAGAACTGACAGGGAATAAAATAATTTGTTCACAGTCTACTCCAACCCACTGGATGGGCGATTAAGCCCAGTTGGACTCTTGTTTAATAACTACTAGTAATCTAATCATTAATGCTTTTGTTCAACTGTTTTTTAACGCTTGCTAATGGAATAATCATCAAGTCAATACCTCCAAATGATTAGAATCCAATCTGAGATAAATAGATCTTGATGACAACCGTTGTGCTGATTTATTTAGAATAGTCACCGGCGAGACTGGCAAGTTTCCACGTTGCCATTAGAATCATCAAAGTTATGTGTGAACAACTTATACTGCTTGCGTCAAATTGAGTGGCACTTCTAAATTGATGTTAGTGCAACTGACTCTTTCGTAATGACACCTCACAGGAGAAGAATGATAGATCTCAAATTGATCTGTTGCTAGCTTCCCAAATTCTGATTAGAAATATTGCTAAATGGTTGCTGCTGTTCACAATTTGACCTTTTATATTGACTTATGATCATGCTTTGGCTTCAGCAGGCAGCCCAGCCCATTTTGCTTCATAAAATCAAACTTTTAACAGTTAAACCAAAACTAACCCATTTGAAACTTGACTTTATATTAGAAATAATAATACTTATATTTCATTATTGGGTCCCTCAATTTTTTAATATCTAAATTTCTTTTGGCTGATAGTAGTCTATATATGTGTATTGTTATCTCAAGCAAAAATGACAAAGTAAATCATTACAATGTATAAATGGTAATTTCATTTATCCTAAAAAAAACATCTTACACATCAATAACACTTTCCTAAAAGCCTTCTTTTTCTATATATCATTTGAAGGGTATTACATGTTCATCCCCTCATGACAATTGGGATTCAGATTTCTTTGATGTTTGCAATATTACTTGTGAATTTCCCTCATATCAAGATTAATGCTTCATGTTTTCACCAAAGTCTCAAATGAGCATATACAACAATAATTCACTAAGTTATAAAGCACAGCAAATAACACAACCATCAAGAGACTTCCATATTTCTAAACTTGAACATTCTTGCATGATGCAATCTTTGAATTGAAAGAATAGATTGAAAATGATTCTTGATCATAAACGTCTTTCTAATAGAGCGAGTGAGAGGGAAATGGGGTTTACGTCCACTCATCATATAGTATGTCATTACAGGAGTGACCTATTGTACATCTTTATTTCAACAATTCTCTTGCGAGAGAGAGAGAAATGGGGTTCAAGGTCAACTCGACACAAACTAGGTCATTTCAGGACTAACATATGGTTCAATTTTATTTCAATAATTTGTGTGCACGTAGGGGTCTTTAGCAGTGGGAGGCAACCAGAGGACCCTGATAAAAGCCACGAGGTTGGACAGGTGACCCTACATCTTGTCACGTTCAACCAGGGAATCGAAACCAAGCCAGTTGACTCAATGACAGACCTTATGATACAGCGCACACACGCTAAGCATTCAGCCATCCAACCCAACCAATTCTCTTGCCTGAAGGTTTAATAGCAGTGGGAGGAAACTGGGGAAGCAGGTGACCCTACACCTTGTCTGGGATCCAAACCGAATCAAAGCCAGACCTTACATCTAAAGCGTATACATTAGACCAGTCAGATACCCCCACCCATCCTTCCTTTTAATGTTGAATTTTTTAAAATACCCAGTTGATATACAATCTGAGTTTTCTGGCAAATATGCTCTACATGAATTTGTATCAACTGATCAAATAGCATTATCAATTGAATCAAAGTGACATCACAATTTTCATTCATTAAACATATATTATCACCTTTTTTTTGGGATATTTCTAAATAATTGTCAAAAATCACATTCTATATTTATATATTCTCTAGTAATGTGTTTCTAATGGGCGTCCTCGTTGAAGTAATTCTCACCAGGTGTCACTAGTAAAAACTTGGTTCCACGTGACCTTATCGATGGTAAGAGAACCGTATCGGTATTAAATTCAATATTAACGACAAAAACTAACGTTTGTCAACACACGAGTTCGTAATGAATGTACAGGAAAACTGTGCTATAAGGTAAACAATGAGGTCACGTGGGACCGCCTGGCCTATAAATTATGTCCCTTTATCTCTAGCAAGGACGCCCATTGGACTGTCTCTTCTGTAGCCTATTCTGGCATTGTCTATTCTGTCTATGTTGAGCACTGATTATTAGATATTCTCTTTTGGAAATCCTTGAAAGTATTTGCTGATAATATTCTTTATGTTTACACCAAACAGTTTCATTTATTCTATTCCATGTCAATTTTTTGATACCAAATGTCAACACATATGTACATATCCTGCAAAAAGAGAAGGCACCAACCCTGGATTTGGTGTAGGTTTTCAATGTAATCGTATCACCAACAGATTCATAAAAGTCTTGTAATAGATAGCCTTGATCTAAGGTGCCATCTTGCAATTAGATTTCACCATCATTACATTTTCAACTAGTGTCATATGGTACCAAGAAGAAATTAACGTTAATGATAACCTGATACAAGTCTCCAAGGACAGTCAAGTATTAGGAAAAAAAATCTTATTAACTTGAAATTTGTAAGCAAAATTGATCAAACTCTATAAATAGCTATTGACTAACTGGGTTTTAATTTTTTCTAGTCAAATCTGATGAAGAATTGAGTTTCCATGACAAATTTACTGCTAAAAGAGAAATGTTATTTTATCTTGGGTAGAAACTAGACTTTTTCAAGGGAGTATTCATTGCACTTACACAAATAATGGGATTCAGATATCAGCTTTGCCATGAACATAATTGCTACATGCTATAGGACTTTGACTGAAAGTATTCACATTATTTTCTAGGTGAGGGCTATATAACTCTTAAATCACTGTAGGAATGTGGGGAACTTGAAAAAATTATGATCCAGCTATGAAAAATTCATCAATATAATGTCTTTATAATTAAGAATATGTGAAGACTGATGACAGATCAACAGACGTGACGGACGACAACATTATAATTTGCATCCAAATGTAGAAGTATAAAACTTGTCTCACAAACTTACTTACAAATTTATCTTGGAAGCATAAATTTATCTATGTACTTTGTAAAATAATACGTCAACAGAAAATATGATTCCAGACAATTCAGTCTGATAATTAGAAATCTACATGACACTTGACAATCAATGTGTTTTGAAAGACAAAACTGAAAATACACCAGAATCAGTCTTGTCTTGTTGTGTCTGACTAGATGATAATTACCATAAAAGCTCCAAATTATATTGACAAGTGAGTCATGTTGGAACAATTGAGAACATATTTTGACCTCTTCGGTTCATTTCAATTGGTAAATAATTAGGCTATAATCCCGAATCCAGTCTGATCTAGTTTATACATACTATTTTCATTGCTTTCCATGTAGTCTTAAATTATGACCAAAATCAATTGACTTGGAATCTATATGACCATTGACTTATGGTACATGCTCATTGGACACTATGCCTGACATACATGTAATTCAAACACCTTTGGTAATTCTAGAGCTGCTCATCAAAGTTCAATATGACTTGCCAGGCCCTCTGTTCTGCACCACTGACATGGGGAAACCATGTAGAAAAATCCAAAGGACCTTTCTCGGCCAACACTGGGATTGAAACCAAGATATACTGGTTAGTGAGCCAGAGCCTTAGTCACTGAGTCACCACAGTTCCCCTGTAAATGTGACCCACCACACTCAAATAAAATTAAGTTAATTAAGTTAAAATTAAGGTTCTTAACCTGTATCCACTCAAGGATCCTTTCAGTGGGACATTTTACAAATCTTTTGAGGACTCTGTTCATTCAGAGTGCATTAGGACCACTTTTCACATAAATCTTTGACAAACCCTAACATGGGCCATTGTAATCTGAAAAATTAAATTTTGAGACAAATTTGCATGAAACATGTATATTTTAACAAGCCAACAGTGAGGCTGATGTCCCCCGCCGAAATCCCAAAATAAATAGATGACACATATTAATTAATCGCAAATTTATTTATTTCAAAAGTATCAAGCAATCAAGTTTTATCACTCTCTATCAGATAGAATCAAGATTATCTTGTCCCAAAACATCGACCAATGAAATTGATTAGCTCTGCTTAGCTTTAGCTTGAAATGTTAATCATTGAAATCAGTCAAGACATTCACCTAATGAACATCTACATCAGATATAAACATTCTACCTCAATTAAAAGCAGAGTTTTTATGTTCCAATCAAATAGCTTATCGCTCCTTAGCCCAGGCAGAAAATTCGCACAATCGAACTTAGTCAAGGTAATGATATAATGAATCTATATTCAGAGTTTCATCGCTCTCACTTCATTATAACCAAAGTTATCGTGCCCCTAAAGCATCAACCAATCAGATTGCTTATCTCTGCCTACCGTAAGCAGACAATGTTCATCATCGAACTCCATCAAGGGATTCCCCTAATGAATGCCTACACAAATTTTGAACATTCTAGCTCAATTAGAAGTAGAGTTATTGTGTTCCAAAGTCTCAACCAATCAAATTGCTTATCGCTCTGCTTACCCTGAGCAGAAAATGCTCATTATCAAACTTAGACAAGTTTCCTCACTCTCACTTAATTAGAACTAATGTTATCAGGCCCCAAAGCATCAACCAATCAAAATGCTTATCTCCGCTTACCCTAAGCGGAAAATGCCCATCTTCGAACTCCATCAAGGTATTGACCTAATAAACACCTACACCAAGTTTGAACACCAAGCTCAATTAGGAAGAGAGTTATTGTGTCCCAAAAAGTGTGACGGACAGACAGACATACAGACAGAGACACACAGACGAACGAACCCTTTTTAATAGTCCCCTGCTTTCTTCGAAAGGCGGGGGACAATAACATTCCTGTTAGTCCACAGTGGAGCTAGGTGTTGCAACCAAAGTCTAGTGGATTTTCTGAGAACACCACCACATCAAAGTTGACTAAATATGGCAATTTTAAAACAGTCGATGACATTGATGCAACATTTCCAACAAAGATGTAAGAAAAGAAAGACAGCCAAACGAAGTGAGATAATTACAAATATATACTTTCAAGTTTTTATATGAAACCAAATGGGGTTTAATATGCCCTACTTTTCTGCTCCATCCGGGCCAATGAAAATGGCCAATGGCCATGTGGAGTAATATGGGGGAAATTTGGCCTGGACCGACAGCGGCACTATGGTGTACTTCTATTTTGAATTCCAAGTGTTCATTTACTTGTACATCAACCTGTACACTACAGACAGGATATTGGTTTTGAGTTCCACCCGAATGACTACACAATGTTCCTTTCCAGGCCCTCCCTCCTACACCACTGACAAAGAGAATCACTGCGGAAAATCCCTAGGCATTTTCTTGACCAACACTGGGACCTAGCAATTAGCCAGCCAGATATTTACTGAGACCCTGAGGCTCCATATAATACAGTTTATGTATTGGCAACTCGGTAGTACAAACGTTGAATATTTTTTGGGCTAATGAAGACGGGCATACGCCATACAGTGTGGTGTGAGGGAAATTTTGCCCAGGCAGTGGCACTATCGCCTACTCTTATATCGAATTCCAACTGCCAGAGAACTTTTATGTGCATTCCAATGTATACACAGGACCTCGGTTTTTCGTATCATCCGAAGGACTAGACAGCTGTCCTTGTCAGGCACTCCGTCCTGCATCACTGACAAGGGGGGAACCACGCCGGAAAATCTGGATGAACTTTCTCGGCCAATGCAGGGATCGAACACCCGGAATATTTTTTGTGTCCCAACAAGTCAAGCAAAGGTATAAAATCAAATATCTTTAATATCAAAATGGATGCATTATATGCTTATATGTATAAATGAACAGCAGAACGGAACAAGACGAAAATTTGTTCTTTTAATAATAATTACATTGTAATCTTCAAATTGATCAATTAATAAGATGCCATTAGAACAGAATAGGTGGAAATGTAGATATTTATTGACAAATTATGACCAAGATAATGCTAGTTTAATAATATATGAAGATTAATATATGACATGCGACTACCCTAGAAATTCTAAATAATTTAATCAACATTACATTTAATAGTGTCTCAACATTTTAAAATCCTTTACTCCAATAAAACAATTATATCTATTTTATTATCACAAGAAATCAAATAACACAAGAAGAACATTTGTTATTCTTAAAATAATAACAAATAAACACTGCAGATAGAAAGGTTGAAACTAAAGTTGTTAAAGTATCTCACACGAGATAAGTAATGAAAATCATTATCAACAAACTAACACTTTTGCCCTTTAGTTTAATCAGAAAGTGAGTGATTTAAAGATGTAATTAAATAGAAACTGCAACTAGAAGTCATAAGTCAGACCACTGTCTTAACACAAAGATAAAAGTTCTACATTAGACAATTTAACAGTTTTTTGTTTTCTCACATAAAAAAGCTGGGAGAAAACAATAATCATCACATTTCCAGTAAGTGGATAAACTCAAGTCGAAGTCAGTCCAGCCCACTATCTCAAGCATGACTCAAACAGCCCTATTGATTGGTGGTGCTCTTTCACATGTAGCCACTAGAAGTTGTGTAGATCAACCGGTGTATGGAATGAAGGAAAGCTGCGAAGTTAATACCAATGCTAGTTACTTCAATGGACACAGTATTATTGAATGTATTGGCTTTAAGGACTCTATATTCTAATTCATGTTATATATTAAGGACAAGTGGTGCTCTAACAATTTAAGTGAAGTCAGTTTATGATATCTATATATATATGTATAGATATATCTATATGTAATGTGAGGGTAAGTACATTTACATATGTATAATGTATACTTATATTCTTTCTTCGTCTTGTAATTCTTACAACAATCATTCAGAGCAAAGAGCATAATGAAATGAAATTGCAATTACGTTTAACATATATTATAAGTTGAATTAAGCAAAGTCACTGATCCATAACCTTTGAATATATACTATATACCACATAGATGTTTGTCTTGATATACAAACAGATATACAGATAATGTCATTTATTACAAAGTATCCTCCTGATCATTTGCTTAATACAGTGCAAATGTGACACTAGTTATACAAATATCATATTTTATTAAATTGATCATTTATTCATAATTAACTGTAATAATTATCTGAATATCAAATAACAATTATATTCATTATTCATTACTAACTTATTAGATAATTGATGAAATAAAATCATATCTAGATCATACAAATATGTGAGGAATTTTTAAATGACTAAGTTTCATGTGAATTCAATGTAAACTACACACACAAAAATCTCAGAACATTTAATAGTTGTGGGAGGTTCATTCATAATGTGCACAAGAGCATTTCATAACAAGCCTTTTATAACCATGGTGTTAATATAATTTTTATGTGGATTACAAATGAACAAAAAAAAATGTTTTAAAGGGGTTCATTGCATGATTTATTTGATTAATATAAAGTGATATCAAGGAAATATGAAATAATTTCAAGCGGATGAAAGACAATTTCATTATTTGCAATATAATTTGAGATTTGAGACAATACAACAAAATCTCACACTGAGTGAATATTTATCTTAATAGTCTGCCTAAATATACAAATGAAGGTCTAATATTATCATTATTATTGTTACCATAGTTTTAGCAATTGTTTTCACACAAATGAATATCCATACATATCAATATCAATTAACATATGAAATGAAATGAAATGGATCGAACACCCGACCCCCAGGCTAGCGAGCTAGCGTCTTACCCATTTAGCCACGTGATCCCCAAATTAACATATGAACAGTTGCGACCATTAAATGCGATGAAATGCATGAATGAACAATGTTTGAATACAATAGAAATTTGCCACTGATTAATAATAGATTTACATTTAGTCTAAGGTTAGTATGTTTCTAATTAAAAATAGGATGCTTTAATATCAGATTGTAAATCTTTTAACCAGCAAGAAGTCTTTGATTTGGGTCAAGCTTAAATGAACTGGGTAGATCTGATATGATATTTTGAGATGGGCAAGCTCCATATCTTGCATAATCATATTTGGAACCATATTTATCTGTAAAATGCTTATTACTGTCTAATCATTTACATTTGATTACTGGTACATGTATTACATTTATCATATCATCCGGGGTTTATGGACTTGCCTGTAGTCCAGTCTTCAACGATGAGTTGCATGTTCAATCTAGTTGGGGTTGTAAGATTGAACATACAATAATTCAACAACTCACTTCTTCTTGGTCTAATCTTATATCCCGTAAAAATACTTAAACAATAATAATATATATACAGGCTAGGTAACTTAATAAGGAACAGTATCTAAGAAATAACTTATCAGAGACCTGCCCTTCAGTATGTACTGCTGCCTGTATATGGTCAACTGCCTACAACCTACAATATTTCCTCGAATATACTAGAGGTTGCTTGGTAACAATAAATAATAATTATATTTTAAAAACTTAAACATACATTATGCAAGAGCTAAATCTGTCTATTACAAGTCTTTCTTTAGGCCTGAAATGTTATCTAAATTATTAATTAACCTATCCAGACCATAATCAACTCTAGATGGCATCGCTAGTCTGCGATCTTTAGTGGATTGTGAGCCGATTTACTGCATAACTTTCCTTCACGATTTAACGATTAAATGGATAATCGAGACTATGCTGTTTTTCGTACTGACTTTAGTAATGATGATCAAGGCTAGGCGGAAATTCAATCGCTTTGTTCTCTGTTCATAGTGGATCAATTTGAATGAAATTTTCAGCAAATTGCCTTTACATTATCTAGTTTTTAACTATTATAGTGAGAACTGCCAACTCGTTATCGAATGTCCCATAATGTATCTTTAATAATATCTTATA